TCTCTTATTTTGTGTGTGTTTATGTGTGGGTAAGCCTGAGAAGACCTTGTTGGTAGGGCTTTCCCCAACCCTTGGAAACCTCAGGATTCCCAGGCATTCTAATTATTTTGTATGATTTGCTGTTCTTTCTGTATTTACTAAACTAATTCAAGTTTCATTAACTTCTCTCTTCATCTCTGTAGTTAACTGATGTATTTATGTGCATGTAAGAATCAATTAATAATATTTGATTTGTATTTTGACTACACTGTATATTTTTGTAACTCTTCAATTTGGAGGAAATAAAGAAATAATAATAGCACATTTTGGCTTAATGCTGCCCAGAATTTTGACAAGGGTTGACAGCTAAGGTCATTGACGAACGTGCCTCGATGTGTGTTGGTAGGCCCGAAGTCAGTGGTCCGAGTGTTGTGTACGAATATGTTTACAGTGGAGTAAAACCCAAGATATAAGAGAATAAAAACATGTTTAGCCATATGCTAATCTACCGCATAGTCTTCTTGTTAGTAAAAGACATGTGTTAATTGCAAATTACATTATATATATGGCCCACATCGACATATCACATACACTATTATTTTATCATATGAAATGTATCATTACTTCACTTCATAATGCAAGAATATCGCAGAATGCACAAGTTGTCGGATCAATTGAATGCCACCTGCCGAATGTAAATACATGCTAACCTTACAAAAAGATAAACAAATGCCTAATACACCACTGTAGCATAACCTCAAACCAAATGACAGATAAAAAGACTGCTTTTAACAGGTATTCCATCTTTTCATATTGCAGAGTTATCTGCTCTTGTGAGCAGGTATTGATTGTTACGTCATTTGTTTGTGAGAGTAACGTCATCAATTTTTGAGAAAACGACGTAATTTTCTCACACAAATTAAGGACGTAACAATCAAAACCTGCTCACAAGAGCAGATAACTCTGCAAAACTAAAATACGGAATAGAGTAGGTAAGAGAGAAAGGAAATAAATGAAGTCGTTAGTGTTAAGAGAGAGAGAGAGAGAGAGAGAGAGAGAGAGAGAGAGAGTAAACGGACGACGACGCATTTAGCGATTAAATGATCGGAAGTAAACGACGTAGTAGCTTGACAAATTATCGACCAAGACATGGAGGCTGTTTTGGAGACTTCTACAAATGGCGAATGGCAAGGAAAATAGAATCTCTGACGTCTTTTGTGTATAGTGTATGTAAAGCAAGAAGAGAAGTGGAAACATCCAGATCACAAAACAGAGCAAAGACAACAAAGGAGAACAGGAGGGAAGAGAAGGGAACATGAGACTAGAGAAGGGGTTATGCCAGTAATTTAACACACCACCAAAGAATAACACAGGGCAGGGCTACAACCGTTGACCGAAGAACTTATGGAGTAGTTTCATCGCCTAAATATGTAGAAAAACTCTGGAAGGAAAGGCATGAAAGAACGATAAAAAATGTTTTGTCAAAATACCCTTGCATTTCCCAAAAGGAATAATAAAAAAGTTGCAAGAACCGAAGGTCCAAGGATGAAGTGGTCTCATTTTCCTTGTACGTTTCCAGGATTTCCATGTTATTCATTTGTTCATATTTTGTCTTAGTTTTATAGATTTTGAACCCGAACAAAACTTTCGTTGATTTTTTGTGACCTCTGTAGTATGAAACAAACGTCGTTATTCACAGCCGTATTTTATTGATATAACACGTGTGCATCCCAAACGGTATGTGTCATATGTAACAACATTGGATTTTAAACCTGTTACCAATATACGCGCTGTTAAATATGTATATATTGCTATCTAACATAATATTATATATTTAATTCCACTTTGCAATTCGTATCTAAGGAAGATTGCTTTGTAAGAGTCGGACTGTAAATAAACACACCGTGCATATACAGTCTAACACCAAACTGTAGTATCATAACTGGTGCTACTGTCTGTGGATGTTCAACAAGTGTGGTGTAGCAGGAGAAAGAGAAAATGTATTCGAAAATCCAGGACCCTCCGAACTCTAGACGGACGCTTTACCAACTAAGCTACCTGGTCGCCAACGATCGACCCAGTCCAGTTCCGCCACAGTCTTCATATCTTGTGATCTGGCCAGATAAAATATTATGTTAAATAGCGATGTATACATATTTAACATCGCATATACTGGTATAATACCAGAGCGATATAGAAAGAGTGTATGATTGGTGCACTGTGTGGAAAATGAAAGTGAATGTGAAGAAGTGCTGCCAGGTCATTTTTACAAACAAGAAGAAATGTATGAATTTTAATAACACTATGAGCGGTGGGAATCTGAAGAATGAAATGTGTGTGAAAGATCTTGGTGTTTGGCTGACCTCTTCAATGAGTTTCAGTACCCACATTAGACGTACTGTTTCCAAATCAATGCGAATGCTCGGTTTTATAAAACGTACATGTAAATCGATAAAACTAGGGCAAAATATGAACGAAGTAAAGATATACATAGAGATCATGAAAAAAGTACAAAATGATACATAAAATAGCACATGATCTAACACCAAACAGTCCCTAGACTATTACGGTAGTATCATAACTGGTTGTCGTATACATTTCTTGTGATCTGGCCCCGGTAGCTCAGAGATCGGTTAGTTAACCAGTGGTCAGGGGAACATTTAAATATTAATACAACAAAACCAGGAACATTTGACATCCTGTCAATGCTACAGATTTGTTAAGGCAGATCGGATTTCACGAGTATAGCAAAATAACTATACCTTTGACAAAGCGAAACGCCAATGGAACACATTGATATATTCTGTCATACAAGTTAAGTCTGAGTAGGCTAACCGGTAAATAAATGGAAACAATTGCGATCCGAGAGCACCAACTTATTTTCTTTTACATATCGGGCAGTAGAAAGGTTTTGGACGTAAACAATCTTCCAAGATCACCACTATGTAAATCATTATACTGTAACATTACGCCTGTTTGTTTATGTTTCAGATACTACTTCCGTCACAATGATGCGGGTATTGGCCCCCGCCATTGCTCTGTGTTTCCTAGCAACCGTGAATGAAGCCAAACCTCTGAATCTACGTCCAATTATAGGTATTGGCATAATTTTATACCAATAATGATTTCAGATCTGTGTCATCGTTTTCATAGTACTAATTAAATTTCCAAGGATGTTATATCATATGTGCAGTACCTGAATATGCACTGAAATAAACCCCTTACTACCAATCAAATCTACGTATTCATATTCCACTTTTTAAATGGATACAAATAAATAGAAGCCATGACTATTCTGTTGAGATATAATGTTTGAACTTTTGGACAAAATAATTCCCATTGAAAAATGTGTACAGGCTTGAACTGTTAATCCAGACCCCACTTACCCCGTGGCCTGTTAACCCTGACCCCACTTACCCTGGGACTGTTAATCCTGACACCACTTACCCCGTGGCCTGTTAATCCTGACCCCACTTACCATGGGGCCTGTTAAACCTGACACCACTTACCCTGGGACTGTTAATCCTAACACCACTTACCCTCGGGCCTGTTTAACCTGACTCCACTTACCCTGGGGTCTGTTAATCCTGACCCCACTTACCCTGGGGCCTGTTAAGCCTGACCTCACTTACCCTGGGGCCTGTCAATCCTGAGTCCACTTACCCTGGGGCCTGTTAAACCTGACAACACTTACCCTGGGCCTATTAAACCTTGACACCACTAACCCTGGGCCTGTTAAACCTGCCACCACTAACCATGGGGACTGTTAATCCTGACACCACTTACCATAGGGCTTGTTAACTCTGACACCACTTACCCTGGGGCCTGTTTATCATGACATCACCTACCCTGTCGCCTGTTTATCCTGATACTTCTTACCCTGGGGACTATTATTAAACCTGACACCACTTACCCTGTGGCCTGTTTATTATGACATCACATACCCTGTCGCCTGTTTATCCTGATACTTCTTACCATGGGGCTTGTTAATCCAGACCCCACTTACCCTGTGGCCTGTTAATCCTGACCCAACTTACCCTGGGGCCTGTTAAACCTGACACCACTAACGCTGGGGACTGTTAATCCTGACACCACTTACCCGGGGGACTATTAATCCTGACACCACTTACCATGGGGCCTGCTTATCCTCACCCCACTTACACTGGGACCTGTTAATCATGACCCCACTTACCCTGGGGACTGGTAATCCTGACATCACTTACCATGGGGCCTGTTAATCCTGACACCACTTACACTGAGGCCGGTTTATCCTGACACCACCTACCCTGTCGCCTGTTTATCCTGATACTTCTTACCCTGGGGACTATTAACCCTGACACCACTTATCACGAGGCCTGTTAACTCTGACCCCACTTACACTGGGGCATGTTAATCCTTACCCCACTTACACTGGGGACTGTTAAACCTGACACCACCTACCCTGTCGCCTGTTTATCCTGATACTTCTTACCCAGGGGCTTGTTAATATTGACACCACTTACTCTTTGACATATCCGTTTATGCAACAACTGGTTTGTCTGTTTTAAATCCATTTTCTGGTATAAACCATGGCGGACCTGCAAATGTGTATGCATGCCTTGCAAGGCTTTGTGAGGGATCGTCTAAAAGTAGCATCATATAGCTCGTCCCGACCTTATTTCATAAACGAACAACTCTGGTCCAAACTATTCAACCGTTTGGATCGCGATAAACGAAAGCGGCCTTGTTGTCCAGCCACAAATTGCACAATAGTATTACAAGTGTAGGCACGAATGAATTAGACCGCACGTGGCAATTTTACGCTTTGTACACAAGCTGTTTGTTTGTAAGACACAGATTCTGTATTATAATGGTAAGTAGACTTCACAATAATGATGTTTTGATTAATACCATAGGGGTGTTGGCACAAGAGACCAGTGGAACGATGTCCTCGAATGGGGACAGCTTTATCATTGCTTCCTACGTGAAATGGGCGGAAGCAGAAGGGGCAAGGATTGTTCCCATCAGGTAAATAATGCTGTATTTACATCAATGTTTTTCGCTATACGAGGCGCGGTAGTGAAGTGGTAGGACGCCGGGCTCGTGACCGAATGTTTGTAGGTTCGAGTCAAGGCACGGCATTGTGTTGTATCTTTGAGCAAGATACTTTACTCGGATTGATCCAGTCTACTCAGCTGTAAATGAGTACGTGGTTAAGCAGTGCTAGAATTGTAGAATGTTATCTGTGAGCGCCGAAATAGCAGCACTGGCTGTATGCCTCCCAGGCAGTTGAGAAATATATTGGCTGTTTATAAAGGCCCTATAACCACGGATACTAATTTGTGAACCGTTTTGAGACAACCTACGAACTAGGTTTTGATAAAGCGGTATAAAAAAAACCTCGAATCATTATTAATGATTATTACAACATCTTGCCACATCAGAAAACAATTTGGGGATGTAATGAGGAAATTAAAGATGTCGATTTACGACGATATGAACATCATCATAAACTAAATACAAACCTGGCAATACGTTCACTTATCAATGGTAAGATACAAGCTACAGGAAACTTTATTCAAAGTCGCATACATGTAAACAAGGAACATTAGCTCTTGAGAGCTTTTATTGCGACAAACATATGTAAAATAGCAATAACACATTGTAGTACAAGTAAAGGGAGATAATAACATATATTGATAAAAAGCAATACAAATTATCACAGAAAAAGAAATTATTATATCCCAGTGATGAGTTGTGTTATGTACTGGTTTGCACTCCTGGGGAAGGCGCTAGTGTTTGTAATTGCCTCTAGCTATTCTTTATCTGGACAACATTTCGAGACCATCGTGCTCTTAGCAGGATTGCTGATATATCCTCGAACTCAAGAACTATTTAGTTCTCAAAGCAGAAGGTAACGCAAATACTTCAGGTGTTGACATGAGACGGTGACCGCTGTATTGACTCTAATGTTTTCTACCACACTACGCTGTGTTATTCCACTCTCAGATCATTGTATAAACACGCAGACTGTTAGATAAATATTAGTTATATTCCACCCGTGGTATATGACCTTCACGAGTTTTGATTGGTCGAGAAGACGAACTTTGACCAGGAGGACTTTTTCCACGCGCTTTTTGCCACATGCTGTTTTGTTTACGTCGTCTGCTGTCAACAAATGTTGGTGACTGTGTGAGGATATGCGGAAAAGTGGGTTATTAAGGCAATATTAAAAGAATATGATACTTAAAAATTTGATCGCTAGTTTTAGGCAAACTTGCTTCAGACGCTCGATATCGTTTCGACGTCACACCGTCGCGTGTCCAGGTCGTGAAAGATATGTCACAGTGTCGGAAAATATTTCATTCTCCCAACGTTTCGTTATCGCTATTTGGACGGTCTGACTATGGCTGAACTTTGACTAGAAACTTCAACCATAGCAGCGTCACGAAGAAACGTAGGCCTATATGGTTTTGGACATTGATAGCGATAAGTTCGTCTTCATTACCTGACGAGAGGCAGACTTTGTACGATATGCTTACGTACATATAGTCCGTGGTTAACTTATATAAATTAATGCAATGCTGCTACTCTCAATATTTAAAGTCGTTCATCTATTATATTTTTTCATGAAGTTGTTGCCGACCGTTGTTGACAATTATTAAATTGTAAAAAAATAATATTTTTTTTGATATGAGTGACTTTTTACATATGGGTCATATCATTACGCCATCCTTGTCAACAAACACGTGTGTGTATGCTATTTCCAACTGATCATGAAATTGTGGTAGATACAGATCACACAACTCGTGGTTGTTGAGTATGGTATTTATTTCACTCCCATTAGTTAATTTTCGAAAGTTACAGAAAGACACTTGCTAAAGCTGGTGTCTTTTGTAACTTTTGAAAATTAACTAATTCGAGTGAAATAAATACCATATTCAACAACCACGAGTTGTGTAACCTCTATATATTCATTTTAAGGATAAAAGAGCCGGATGAGTACTACGAGGATATCTTTCAGAGAATAAACGGGTAAGTATTTTGTCCTCAACCGGTAAGAAAATGTTAACATTCATGTAAATGTTATAAAAAACCATCATTGATATACGACTGCGTAAGTCGTCTTCGGTTAGTCCAGTTCGACTGAAATCGTAACAATGTAGACTGCTGCCATGTTTATAACAAAACATTCAATTATTTGATAAACAGAAAAAAAAAACCTATAGAAAATAAAAATAAAACTGTGGCAGAACAACTGTAGTCTATTCAACATTTATTTCTCAGAGAATATGGACGAAAACCAGCAGTTCCATCGGGTGTCCGCATACTGCCATACATTAGCATATACACGTCATTTGCAATTACAAAAGAATAATAATATTGCTGTTTATTTTTTAAAACCTCATGGCGTGACGTTGTTATTTCCATACTGACGTCACAATCAAATTACAATTCAGTTTGATCGTTTAAACCGTGGCTATGAATTGGGGTCACCTCGGCTCAATAAATATAACATTATGGAATAGCTGCCAAGACACTAACACCACCCGTAATCATTACTATAACATACACATATCTTTATTTTTACAGATAATCTTGTTTTACGTTTAAATTGTCATTCGGTTGTTGTAAAGAAAAGAAAGTGATAATACAGAAAATCATTAAAACATATTTCCTTTCAAACATGATCTACAGTGTTCTTCTCCCCGGTGGAAGTATTGATATTATGACGTCATACCACGCCAAGGCAGCCAAGAAGCTGTACAATATGGCACTAAAGGTACGTATCGTTATTTACTGCGTTCTTATATTTTGCGGATCACTATTTCGCAGTTTTACTCCCGAAACTAATTCGCAGGTTTTTATTTCCCACAAAGCTTTTAACATTCTATTATGAAAGGATTCTTGTAACACAACCAATAAGTATTTCTATGTGACGTTTCGATGACTAGTACAGTATGTGCTCTGTCACCTTCATCAGTTTCAAGAAGGGTAAGCGTCTTCTGCTTCAACGATGACACCAACCATGTAAATCTTAGTTGAAGCGTATATTTATTCACTATCGTGTTACCTACTATTCTGTTTGTACCTGCTTTTTTTTCTATATAACACTTAATATATTTTTGATGATTTGAGATAATTTATTTTAGGCCAATGACAATGGTGATTACTTCCCTATATGGGGTACATGTCAGGGTCTCCAGCTGTTGTCTGCATTGACAGCAGGACAGAATTTGCTGGCTGACAGACCATACAACGGCGTTCTACCTCTGGATTTCAAGCCAGGTAATTCTATTTGCAAATATATTGACCTTAAGCCTGGTGAGTCATTTCGGGCAACCCTTACAATGGTTTTATAACTTTGTGCTTTAAATCGTAGACTTATATTATCAGACAAACTATTAAGAAATTTGTGCTTGCAACGTGTTAAGACTTTTAGACAGATTTGATAATTGGGTGGTCTCCTTGTACTTTTTAAGGTTCTCCATGTGAATTTGTCTTTTGTTCATTATTTGCCCTAGTTTTATCGATTTTTAGTTCTATTTATGGTTTTGATGAGAAGTCGGTTTTCTCTTGTTGCTTCTTGACTTAAACACACTTTATTGCCTTAGAACAAAGTAAACGATAAGACACAACATTAACATTATTTTCAAATTATTTAATTTACATAATAGCTCATTTTATTGTTTCGTTATGTAGTAGACTAATTGTGTACCGAACTACGTGGGCTAGAGTTATCACTATTTGCTGTGGATATCTTTTATTTACTAGGGTAATCTAATAAAGATTTCCCTATGATTTTCTTCTGACGCGGCATTATCTCGTCATCGATAAATGTTACAAGGGATGGTGTGGTTACTCTGATGATGATGTCTTTGCAGACTTCCAGAGCAGTAGGTTGTTCCGGAACCTCCCCGAGGATGTGTACACCGCATTAGCAAAGGAGAACGTCACTTCCAATCTCCACATGTATGGGTTGACGCCACAGGTAACATACCTTGTCTAAGCATCACTCTGTATGGATCCTCGCAATTGCATTGGTTCATGTATGTTACATGTTGACGTAATATATCCCATATTCTCTTCTGAGCTCATTATTTGCTGTGACGTCTTATGTTTATATAGTGTCACTTACAAGTGTTGACACTTTCCTTCAGACGCTGTACTGCCAAAAATAACGAAACAATATACATGTATCACTGAAATTTACAACCGAAAATTAGTAATCTGGGTGGTTTGTTTTATTGTGAGGGGTTTAATGTTCTCCCAGTATCTATGGTTCTATGTAGACGGGTGACAAGGGAGAACAGAAAGGAAGAGTAAGTAGGAGTTGTTCTAATCGAATGTTTTTAGTAATTAAGATCGTACAAGGATTTCGATAATTATTATTGGTATATCACCAATTAACACTGATAACATAAAGGCTTTGGTAATATCAACCTTTCATTATAGTCATGTCACTTGAATGGAATATAAGGTTAATCGGCTTACCATACGGTTTAGCTGAAAGCAATAAGGGCCGATACTCTGGTATCTCAAAGACTGCTTTCCCCTAAATTATGACTGATAAGCATGCCTATAATCATTTTTAATTTTTCAATTATTTGCGGTTTTGAGATGAAAACAATGTTAAATCCACTTTTGCATCCATTATTTTGAGAATACAGATCTCGTCTTGGATTCTGCAGTGTNCAGCCCCCCCCCCCCCCTCCCCACACACACAACTCAACCCAGATCATGCGCAGTTGGGTACAAAATATATATTCACATATATTCTGAACAATATGCTTTTAATTCTCATTCACCCTGGTAAGGAAGACATATCAAAGTCATAAAAAACGTTCAGCATGTAGGGGAATGGCAACAACTGGTTCACTTGGTGTCAATATAATATGACCGGGCTGAATGCTTTGCTGGGTGCCTTCGGCATGGTATTTGGTATGAGATCCGCGCTATCACAAGGCGGCAACTACACCGACATACCCTGTCTCCGGCACACACACACATGCACGCATACACAACACACTTGGAGGCACGTCCTTAAATGTCCTAAGCTGTTAATATACCGTTAAACAAAATAAAACCAAACCAAACCAAACCTTTAATTCTGGTATCGGCTTAGTCCTGCACACGCTTCACAACTGAATGTATCACTACAGATATCCTACTGGTGATTTTGCGTATGGGTCTTGGTCGTGTCGATCCAAACATCACACTGGAACTTGTCCATTTCTTTGTTGACGTTGTAATATATTTGTATACTGATTCACACTTTTGATCATTTTCTATATGTAATTTGCTCTTCTATTTTAGAACTACAGTGGAAATAGTCTACTTAAGAATTTCTATCGTGTAATGTCAACAAACTTTGATAAAAACGGAGATGTGTTTATCTCAACTATGGAGGGTAAGTTAGCATTGTTATTCTATTTAGGAACGCCTTCGTTTCTTATTATGAAACCAATCCCATGAACGATAGGCGAAAGGGGATATACACATTTTATTGTGATAATTAAGTGTAAAGATTTTGTCTAAATCAGATCCACATCCAGAATGGGAAATTTCAGAGGGAATTTGTGATAAAAATTCCTTGTTAAAAATATCTGCGTTGAATTGGTCGATTGGTGATTTTCAAGCAGACTGTTTGCATATCACTGGGGGCGAACTCTCTCGGCTGACTTCCTTTCGTTTTCATACAAGGCTGAATTTATTGAAGACATTTATTAGTAAGGGTAACACATTTGATACCTTTGTCAAATGTATATACCCTCTTAACTTTCAATCAAAAATACTACAGACTCTTCTACATAAGCAGATTAGGTCGATATTTCCTTACAACAAAACCATTCAGGACCGCGTACAACTAAGATGTATGATACACATAAGCAAGGTCGATTTTCCGATCATGGACTTTCCCTTTCTTGATATTAACATCTATGCGTCATCCACCTACTGCATGTTAAATTTAATTAACGATAACGATGTTTTTATGATAGCAATGCAGAACTGCATCACAGGGTTCCGAGAGATGAAAGTTGATGGCAAGACGTGTTACACGGTCTCATTATGAGACACATTAACTCCTTGTGTGATATGTAGGTTATGCTGAATTCGATTCGTTTCCCTGCCTAACTTCTCCCATTTTTAGAAACCAGAATTTACTAGGATTGTACCCAATCCACACGGTTGTTGTCATTGATGAAAATGTGCTAGTTTACTTATACTTTATAGAGGGGTTTCCGCGTAACTCTCTCCGTCGTTCGTATTTTTCTCTAGTATGATATAATGCGAGTTCAAATTGCAGTCTTGCTAACACTGCGTATATTTATATTTGTTATTACGTTTAGACAATTTCTAAACATGAAATCAATATTTATTTACAACAGCCATATGTGTATACGTGTATAACAAAACACGTAGGCAAACGATTATTCGTCAATTATTTATTTTGCTTTCAGCCTATCACTACCCGTTTTACGGTGTCCAGTTCCACCCCGAGAAGAACGTGTACAACTGGGACCTTCACTTCGTCAACAACCATGACGCCGACGCAATATTAGCAGCACATTACTTCTCCGACTTCTTCCTTGCTGAAGGTATGCTGATTATTGAGTTAACCTCCATTTTAAAAGCCAAGATACTTTAGGATAGTGCTTCTGTGGGTGCTATGTATGCGTGAGTGCTAGGGACGGCAGGTTTCTGTATTGTCAGGCAATGCTTTAAAAGGAAATCAAAATGCTGTTAGGCATTGGAAAGAAAATACGAAAATCACAAATGATGATGATGATGAAGAGGATGGTGATGATGATGATGATGATGATGATGATGATGATGTGAGAGCGTTAATGATTGTTGAATGCACAATAATGATGTGGGAGTGATAATGAGTGTTGATTGCACAATACATATACGTAATTTGTAATTTATTGTAAAGTATAGTTATCCAATAAGTTGTCAAATAAAAGTTGAATTGTGTATGCGTGTGTGTGTGTGTGTGTGTGTGTGTGTGTGTGTATCATTTTGTATGTTGTCTCTGTATTTTTTTGTATATATGTTATGACTGATAAGTCAACCGACTTAAAGTAATAAAGAACTTGAACTTGAACAATCGGTGTAGCAGATTTATTTTGAATTGTTTTGGTGCCCGCTCTGCAGATGTAGGTGGTATGTAGTGTTTATATAAATGACCGACATGTTTTCTTAGAAGCTGTGAGGACGGTACTCACCTTTGTAGAAAATTTTAAATATGGTTTCTCCGTTATTCATGTTGTCATTTCCTGTTGTCACTGAGTTCTCCTGGTGTGTTGACACAATATTAAAATGTCTTCCTATTTTACTTATGAGGACTTAACGTCATCGTGAACGTTTTCGTGCAGTGAGATTTCTCTTCGGCTTTTCGGTACTTGGTTTAAATACCTTGTGTATAAGTTACTGTTCACTTGTTATTTTCGTGAAGTGTGGATGAGTCACTGATATTAAGAATGGTCTCGCTATGGTTGAATAATTTATGCTGTGTTAAACCTGGGTAAATATATTATTGTAAATTTTCTATGAGGTAGCTCCGTTGGGTAAACACATACAATTAATGACTTAGGGAAACACTTCCATGTTTTACCTTATAACTTGAACATGCTAAGCGACTACTCCATAGAAACTGGTTTCTATATTATCCTCTTGTGTTGACTTATATATATTATTACTTTCTGTTTCCTCAGCCCGGAAGAGTGACCATTCGTTCCCCACAATTGATGAAGAAATCGAAGCACTCATTGACAATTACAACCCCGTGTTTACGAAGAACTCTGCATTTGAAGATATTTACTATTTTAATTTTACAGCCTCACAATAGCCACAAGGGATACGAGCATACGAGCTTCGTTTCCTTAGGACAAAGGCGTTGTGTCCATCCTTTATTGAGTTCTAGATATTTTCGTCATGTTTTAGCTCCTTTACAGCATTGTAGCTCGTACCCATGGAAACACGTTCAATGTTTAATATCAGATGGATAACATCAAATAAAATGGTATTTTTTTTAACGAAAGGATTGCAATTATCTACTGAATCATCACTTGTTCGCTCAATTTTCATTGTATGAAATTCATTTCGTTGTTTTTACGTTTAAAAATGAATGAAATGAAAGATTTCGAAAACTTGCAATAATTTCTTTTTTTTCGGAAAGGGGGGAGGTTACGTCCTATGTACACCTAATAATATACTAGAAGAACATTACAGAAACGACAAGAGGCCCAGAGTGCTTGTATCGCTCACCTGGGACTTTATGCCCAGCAATGGTAGATATGGCTGTGGGTTGAAGATCTCAACCATTTCAAAGTTATGGCCCAGGAAATAAATTCCTAGGCTTGGGATGGGGCCAGACCGAAACGCCAACATTAATGTCATGATATTATTCGTCTCATGATGTCCAGCAATGGTATATATGGTTAAGGGATGATGATCTCAATTGTTTCAATATTATGACCCAATATTTACTCAAATGTTGCCTATTGGGCCCCGCCCCTCTGCCCCCAGGGGTACCACTTCCTCCATTTATACAAAATTGAATCCCTTTTGGGCGAGGATACTCCATGCCAAATTGATTTAAATCCACTCAACCGTTCAGGACAATTTGATTTTTGGGTAGGTGAAAATGCTAAATTTTGTATTACTTAACTGTGCAGCAGCTGCTTCCTCTTTCTAAACCTCACCGGTGTTGCAAATTGGTCTGAACTACTGATGAAACAGAAAGGGGAGATGAACAAAACTCCCTAATGGTATGAATATTTTAAAACATAGATGGGTACTGGTAAATTTCAAATTGATAATGAGTAAAGAATGTATATTAGGAACCATGTCAGCTCGAACGCATTTAAACATTCATTAGATAGTGTGTTCGATTCGTATGAACACTTTGTTAGACCAAGATAAACATGATTGCCAAATTTTATTAGCCACAGGAAGTTAGCACCGGATTCGTTTTTCGTTTTTCGTTATTCGAAAAACGAAAAACGAGTTTTCCCGTTATTCGTTATTCAAAAATTATGTTTTGTTTTTCGTTATTCAAATCGCAAATAAGGATCAGCAGTGCTTTTTAATATCCAGAAAACGATTCTAACACATTAAGGCCAAATACGGCAGTATTTATGTGTATGAGTTCGAAGAACGAAGAACGAAAAACGAATAACGAATAACGAGTTTTCGCGTTATTCGTTATTCATTTTTTTTTATTTTCTGGTTTTTGGTTATTCAAATAGCAAATAAGGTACTGCAGTGCTTTTGGATATCCAGTTAACGATTATAACACACCAAGGCCAAATGGGGCAGTGTTTAGGTGTATGAGTTCGAAAAACGAAAAACGAATAACGAGTTTTCCCGTTATTCGTTATTCAAAAATATTTTTTTGTTTTTCGTTATTCAAATAGCAAATAAGGATCAGCAGTGCTTTTTAATATCCAGAAAACGATTCTAACACATTAAGGCCAAATACGGCAGTGTTTATGTGTATGAGTTCGAAGAACGAAGAACGAGAAACGAATAACGAATAACGAGTTTTCCCGTTATTCGTTATTCATTTTGTTTTTTTGTGTTTTTGGATTTTGGTTATTCAAATAGCAAATAAGATACCGCAGTGCTTTTGGATATCCAGTTAACGATTATAACACACCAAGGCCAAATGGGGCAGTGTTTAGGTGTATGAGTTCGAAAAACGAAAAACGAATAACGAGTTTTCCCGTTATTCGTTATTCAAAAATATTTTTTTGTTTTTCGTTATTCAAATAGCAAATAAGTATCAGCAGTGCTTTTTAATATCCAGAAAACGATTCTAACACATTAAGGCCAATTACGGCAGTGTTTATGTATATGAGTTCGAAGAACGAAGAACGAAAAACGAATAACGAATAACGAATTTTCCCGTTATTCGTTATTCAAAAATTATTTTTTGTTTTTCGTTATTCAAATAGCAAATAAGGATCAGCGGTGCCTTTTTATATCCAGAAAACGATTCTAACACATTAAAGCCAAATACGGCAGTGCTTATGTGTATGAGTTCGAACATACTTGTTCGTAAAAGATACTTGTTCGACTCCCGCCCGTATTGTATTTCTAACATTTTATTCATTCGATGTGATTTTCCCTTTAAATGACACTGGTTGCTGACGGCGGGTAGATAAAGTAAATCAACAATCTTTGTTCAAATTAGTCACAAATAATCACACAAGTGCTAATATACAATGTAATAAAGAACACACATCAGTTTTAATTTTCAAACATGCATCTTATTACAACGGATTTCAATAACACTAAACTGTATCGTCAAGTTACATCCACACTGCATAAGATACTTGTTGCATCAAATAAGATGACATGTACACAACGAAATATACATTTCTGTACATATGATGAATACCGTATATGCCAAACATTATTCAAAGAAAAGTGTCCCAGTTACCCACTCGACCCCTAAACACTGTTTTATTGTAAAATATCGGATACAACTAATGAATAAGTTGGTAAAGACATATTAATTGGCTGTAGCGTTTAATATTATAAACTTAATTAACTTGAGCTGGGCAAAATATTAAACAGATATCCGAGATAGAAACACTTTTTAAGTTGCAAAATCTGAATATTTTAACCAGCAATTTTTTATAGAGATACACTCAAGAGTTTTGAAAACTACGTTACAAAATATGCCCGTTCGTTTTTGGTGGATACACAACAGGATGTTTTCATTTTAATACACCTATAAGCCTCTGTATTAATTTCTATTAAACTATGAATAATGCTCATTCATTTGGTCGAACCGACATGATCGCCAATATGCAAACGTTTACGTTCTGATTTAGACGGTTTGTTTAGGTTTCAAAAGTGTTTTCGTAACAAATTAAAATACACTATTGTATATACAAACGTAAACATAATGCAAATATACACGTATACCTAAAATGTCAGTGTTGGGAAGCCATGGTACCAGTAGCAAGTGATAAAAGTATTAATAAAAAAGGATTTATTAAAAAGTTTCTTCCCGACCCGCCCAAGCGTCCTCTAACCATATATTTCGATCAATATAAAGTTGTTTTGCTAATTTTATTTCGATGTTATATCAAACGCCAGGCTAGTGATTTAGCCGGACCCCAATTGAGCCACTTTGCATAAGATCTGCCGATGAACAATGTAATGACATAGGACAAAACATTTGTACTTGATGCTACGTCATCAAATAAAAATGGCGTCATGCAACAACAATTATAAAACCAGGCATTTTACATATTAGAATGTTATAAAACAAATGTGTCAATAAATCAGCACTGTCTGTAATTCTAGAAAAACATTTAGATACTTGGCAAAATATCGATATTTACAAACACTTACTGATCGTCTCTTCTCATACTTGAGAAATACCCAAGTACATGTTTACAATTCAATACACTACTCTTAGTGTATCATTGTTTCCGATAATTGTACCTGTAATGCTTTTGTTTGTTTTATTAGTATTGCTAATATGTCTGCAACCAGTAGGACCAGATAGCAGGATATCGGATATTATCTAGTGACTTTTCCTTGTTCTCAGGTTAAAATAACGTCACTATTTGGACCCCATTTAGGCCCCTCCCATCTGGCCCCAGGGGTCGCACCAAGTTTGTTTATGTAAAGTATGATCGCCTTGCCCCAGTAATGTTTCAGACCAAATATGGAAATATTATGTGCAACAGTTTAGGGGAAGTAGAATTGTATATGCACCACAGCAAATTTGTGCAGAATCCGATCAGTGGTTTAGAAGGAGAAGGCTTTTTTAGAAATTGTTGACGGACGGACGTCCGGACGACGGACGCCGCATGATCGCATAAGATCACCCTGGCACGAATGCCAGGTGAGCTAAAAACCGTTACGTTAGACGAGTCGATTTTCATACATTCCGCTTTTTCCTGAAAGCTGGGAATCCCAGTTATCAAAACGATAATTAAAATAAATCAAACAAAATGTTAAAACAATATCTTGGTACATTGGTAGATATGTAACCGAGTGTGTATATACAGAAAGGTTATACTATTTTTAATCAGTTGTGATCAGCTTCAAAACATATTTAGTTTAAAAAATATGTTTGAACATTAATGTCAATTTTGACGCTGAATGCTGTCATTTATAACATCATATTGCTCATGAAGTATCTTCGTCTATCGCGTACACAACGTGTTCCAACTGACCATCGCTTCCACGACCTGAAACCTCTGATATTTCTGGTGTTTGCAACCCATCGTACTTGTTCCATTTGCCGTTTATGTTGATATACGCCATGAAATGTCCTCCAGTGCCGAGGGTATATGCCGATAAACAGTATCTGAAAGAACACGAATATCAAATGACTGTAAACAATTCAACAAATATAATTTGTTTCGGACAAAGCTTCTGTCCAACGTTTTTCCTGATTTCAAAAATTGTATCCTTTATATACAACTAAAAAGTGTAGTTCGTTGTACTAAATGCACACAGATAAATATCATCTTAATAAATCCATTAATAAACACAGTATCCTATACATGTTTCATAATTATTTTACTTGTCAATGATGCTTGGGGCAAAGAAAATGGAAATCCAGAAGGGGACTAAGGTTAAGCTGTTCCTGGCGACCCGAATCAAATAGTTCGGACCCTGCCCAAAATTGTTTATGATGTGGGAAAAATCGTGATTTTATGAAAGCCGAATTTGCCAACAAGGGAATAGATGCTATTATCTGCGAAGACGACCGCCGACTCATGTCTTCACCAGTTTGTTGACCATTACCGAATGCCACAGCGAATACACTCAGACCAGTGAGCCAACTTCCAGAGTAAACTGATGAAGAACCTGCGCCAGGCGATGTGAACAGCTAAATCAAGAACTACGCCGTGTCATCCCATGGGGAATGGACAGTGCGAGCGTTTCCGTAGGACATTGCTAAACATGTTAGGATCTCTGGGGCATAGTCAGGAGCGGGACAGGATGGCACACGTTTCCGCCTTAGTACACGCATATAAACCCACCAAGAACGAGTCGACCGGAGTTTTACCGTTCTACCTAATGTATGGCAGGGAACCGCGATTAACTGTGGAATTGGCATTTGGTCACTACACCGGAGCCATCGTCTTCCAATCCAGCACGAATTATG